AACCACAAGACTTACATCTAGAATATATAAAGAATTGAAAATCATTAGCCCCCCCCAAAAAATAAGACTCAATCAAAAAAATGGACAAGAGAAATGAACAGGTCCTTCTCAGAAGAAGCAGTACAAATGCCAACACATAAATATATGTTCAACACTGCTGTTTATTAGAAAATGCAAATTTAAAAAACACTGAGCTACCATCTTACTCCAGAAAGAACGCATCTCATCAAGAAATCAAATAATAACAAATGCCAGCAAAGAGGTAAGGAAAAAGAACCCTTCTACATTGTTGGTGGGAATGTTAACTAGTACAACCACTGTAACAATCAAAATACTAAAAATAGGGGTGAAGATTTAGCTCAGTGATGCAGCACCTGCCTGGCAAGCATGAGGTCCTGAGTTCGAGTCTCCATACCTCCAAAAAAAACTAAAACTAGAACTTTCATTTGATGCAACTGATCCCTTTCTAGGTATCTTCCTAAAAGAGTTAAAGACCTCATATTACAGTGATACACGCATACCTGTGTGTATACAGCAGCACAATTTATAATCACTAAACTTTGAAAATAGCCCTATGCCCATTCACAAATGAATGAAGAAAGTATGAGATTTATACACAATGTAGTATCATGCTATCATAAAGAAAGATGAAGCATTTATATATAAATGCAACTTGAGCATATAATATTAAGTGGAATAGGTCAGACACACAAGCTTAAATATTGCATGATTTCTCTTAGAAACTCAAATACAAATATATTTATATAAGATAGGTAGATATAAATATAGATAGCAAAAGAGAAGACAAAGAGAAAGTTGGGAGATTTTTACAAATGGATGAGAGAACAAGACAGGAGGGAAGGCAGAGAAAAGAGATTGGAGAAAAAAGCATTGAAGAGGAAAGAAAAAGGATGAAAATAGAGTTTTTGCAAATGGAAAGAAACAAAGAGTTGGAGAAGAGTTGGAAGGAACAAGGAGGGAAATGAAGAGTAAGCAATAAAAACTAAAAACAGGGAAGAGAGACATATTATGTACATATACCAACTCCCATGATAACAGTAATCATTATGTACTACGAACATGTACTAATTAAAAAAACAAAAGAAGTTCATGCAGGCCAGGCACAGTGGTGCACACCTGTAATCTAGCATTCTAGGAGGCTAAGACAGGAAGATCACTGAGCAACTAAAAAGATAATAAAAAAGGTTGTTGAGGATATGGCAAAACTAAAATCCTTATACATTGCTGGTAGGAATACAAAATGGTCCAATCACTTTACAACAAAATTTGCCAATTTATTATTTTATTATTGGTTCCAAGTGTGATGCTGTACACCTGTAATCCCAGAACTTGGGAGGCTGAGGCAGGAGGATCACCACAAGCTGAAGACTAGTCTGGGCCACATAGTTCAACCTGAACTATATAACAAGACCCTGTCTCAGAAAAAAAAAAAGTTGTTACCATAAACTTATTAAATGACACAGTTCTTCTACTCCTAACAACCTACCAACCAAAAGGAACAAAAATATATGTCAATATATTTACATGTAAATATTAATAGTGTCATTGTTCATATTAGCCAAAAGGTGGAAACAACTCAAATGCTCAAAACTGACTACATAACCAAAACAAAGTATATCTATACAATAGAATACTATTCAGCAATCTTTTAAAAGTTCTGGGGGCTGGGGATTTAGCTCAATGGCATAAGCTCCTGCCTTGCAAGCAGGCAGTTGTGAGTTCGATCCCTGGAACTGATAAAAAAAAAAGTTCTGACATGCTACAATATAATAAACCTAAGGACCAGCCTATTGAAACAAGCCAAATACAAATGACTATCCACTGCATGATTCTATTGATTTGAGTTGTTCACAAAGGTGAATTTATAGACACAGAAGGTAATTAGTGGTAAATAAAAGTTTAGATAACTTTATCTGGATCCTACAACAGTGGTTGCCAATCTTAGGGCATGCATGCTGCAGCCAGCTATTTGTTATCATAGGAAGCTCTAAAATGTTTGCCATCACTGTCATAGAATACACAGAATAATTTAGCCTGTAAGAAACATGACAGAGGCCCAGGATTTAGCTCAGTGGCATAAGCACCTGCCTGGCAAGCACAAGATTGTGAGTTCGATCCCTGGTACCAAAAATTTAAAAAAAAAAGTCATCAAGAAACACGACAGAAAACTAGGCATAGTGGCATATGCTTGTAATCCCAGCATTTGGGAGGCTGAGGCAGGAGGGCTGCTGTGAGTTTGAGGCCACCTTGAGCTACATGGCAAGACCCTATCTTAAAAAAACAGACAAAAAAAAAAAAAAAGACAGATGTTGCCAGGCAGAGTTGCTCATGCCTATAATCCCAGCACTTGGGAGCTAAGAGGATCACAAATCTAAAGCCAACCTGGACACCACAGTGAGTTGAAAGTAAGGCTAGACTACTCAGTAACACCCTGTCTCAAAACAAAAACAAAATTGAAAAACGGATGACACCAAGTAATATGAAACACTACCAAAGGGCAGAAAAAAAATCAGTAGTACAAAAAAGATGAAATGCAACAATTAGATGCATCTTCTTAAAATGTAAACTGAGAGATATCAAGTAAAAGGCAGGCAGCAATGAGAGCTACAAGTACAAAAATGTTTAGTCATGAATTACAACTGCAGCAATAAAGAGGAATTAGAGCCAGACGTTATGGCAAAACAAAGTAATGACCAAACACAAATGTATTAAATAAGTAAAAATATAAGAGAGTATCTATGGAGACTAACAGAAAAGAGTAAGTCTGTATTGACAGGAGAAAGTTCAGAAACATGATCATGTGGCCCAGGTCAGCAAAAACACATAACAACCCCAGAAAGTCTCTAGAGTTAGTACTATAAGGCATCTATCTTAGTCACATTCTTGTCCCTGAAACACCCAACACCCATAAATTAAAAGAGGAAAGGTCTATTTTGGCCCAGTATTGCAATCCCTGGTGGGCTGGCTCCTAGGCAGAAACAGCATGGCAGCGGGCATAGCAGAGACAAACTGCTTACATCATGGTGGCCAGAAAGCAGAGAGAGAAGGAAGATCTCCACAAAAGGTGATCTGCCCTTCCAGGTCACATAACCTTGACCACCTCTTCTGATCAGGGGTCACATGCTGAAGGCACACTCAGCCACTCAACTCAGCAGTGAGCAATTCCACCAGTAAGTATAGCACCTCCAAGATTCAATCATCCTTCAAACACATGAGATTTGGGGGGAACACTTCAGATCCAAAATGTAACATCATTGTCTTAGTTATGCTATGCATTGATGAGACACAATACCCAACACTCCAAATTAAATGAAGAAAGATTTACTTCTACTCACAGTTTGTAGAGGTTTCAGTCCATAGTTGGCTGGCTCAGGGCAGCATGGTAGAGGGACATCACAGGAGTAACAGTCCATGGGAGGGCAGGCAGAAGGGAGCAAGCAGCAGTGAGCCCTTTTATCCCATCCAGGATACAAACCATTTGGGTGGTGCCACCTACATCCAGGGTGGGCCTTTTCATTATCCACACCCAGAATTATGCTAAAACAATCAGTGGACCAATATCACACCCTTAATACACATTCACATATCCTAGATCCAGCCACTTCTGAAAAGCCCTACCTATGAGTGCAAGAAACTTTGGGGAAGCATCTAGATATAAACTGTAATAATCATCATTCTATTCTCTGAGTCCTAAGAAATTTTTATTTCCTTTTCCATCAGTCAGCTTTCTTGTCACTGGGAGAAAAAAAGGGCCAATAACCACAATTTAAAGGAGAAGAGGTTTAATTTAACTCATGGGTTCAGAGATTTCAGTCCACAGTTGGCTCCCAGGCAGGAATATAGTGGAAGGATGTGGCAGCAAAGCTGCTCATTCCATGGCGGTAAGGAAGCACAGCACAGGAGGAAGAGCATCAGATAGAGACCTACCCTTCAAAGACACATCAGCAGTGACCAACCTCCTTCAACTAGGCCCCACTTTCTATGAGCACATTCAGCTTGGAATGTTAGTGGATTACTACACTAAATAAGCATAATACCCCCACTATCCAATCACCTCTTCAGGAATCTCTTGCTCCAGCCAAATTGACAGTTAAGATTAATTAACATACTGTTATAGATTAAGAACTGATGTCAACTTAATGCCAGCTGTATTACATCAGCATGGCACTGAGCGTAGATGTTCCACTTGAGGAAAGCTGCCAGCATAAATTGAGACATGGAGGAGAAGCAATTGTGTTGAGGCACTGAGGCACTGTGGGTTCTCCTACAAGTTGCTGTTGGAGCCATTGGTTCTCCTGGAGAAGCTCTGGTCCTCACATCGAGCACTGCTTCCTGGCTCCTGAGGGGAAGACGTGTGCCACTTGGTTTGGTGTCCAGGATGAACTCGTCACGCTGGCTTCCTGGCAGGTACTGGACTGTGCTTGACATGGGAGGAGCTCGGGGCCTGCATGTCGCTGAGGATGGTTGTGGTGCTTTTAGAACAGCCCTGATCTTTGTTGTGTGACTTCTTGACTCCAGTGTAGAACCCTCAACCCACCAGCACAGTTCCTTCACCCCACTGGCACAGACTTTCTAGCTTCCACCTCTGATGTTTGGGCCTTCCCAGCACGGATCCATAAAAGGGACAGGTGTGAATCCTTCTTGCAGGCTCTAGACTTCCAGTTGGACTCATGGGAGGCACTTTCATGAGCTCTGGGTCTTCATCTGGACATCGCTGTGGGATTCAGGCCCCAAGCTAAATATTCTATGTCTTAGTGTTATGGATAGATTCCTTGCATTTTCTTGTGTTAACTCTGGATGACCATCATAAAAATAATATTATAAATTCCATGTCCTCATTCTAATTGCTCTTTGCACAATCCCTGACTACAACACTATCCCATGAGAATTCTTACAATTAGCTCTACTAACAACATAATACTATGTGTTCTTTGCAACCAAAAGCATTTTTCAACTAGAGAAAGAGACCAAAGGCTTACCTTTGAGTGTCACTAGTGGCACTGTTTGAAGTGTTTATATTCATGGTGAGTCTTCCAACTCTTCAAAATACCCCCCAATACTTCTTGATGATATACTTCCTTATTGATGACTGGAATTGTGCAAGATGTTTATGGCTTACAGGTTAGATGGACTTTAGTCTGTTAAGAAATAATACAATATCTGTTTTATATGTGCATCCTGAGAATATGGGTGATTTTATTCACTTATGGCCTATTTGTTAATTTTTAAATTATTACAGAACAAATGTAATTTAAAAAGCTATAAAGTATTATTTATTTTAAAATGTACTGAAAGCCAAACTGACAAAATGTTAAAAACATGTTCCTTCTTGTAAGCAGGTAATGACTTCTAGATTTTAATTTTTCAAAAGTGTTATAATAGTGACAGGTTTTCTTGAACCTGAAAAAAAAATACATATATATATATATATATATATATATATACACACACACACACATATATCCTATCTTTAGAACATAGAATCAGTTTGAAAGAAAGTGAAATCCTAGGATATTTTTGGGTCCCCAAAACTTTTCTCTTAGCTGAAACATACTGAATGTTGCATTACAATCAGAGTCCAACATGCCCCCAAACAAAAGATCCCATAGTAATTATTTTTTAATTTCAGATGTTTTTTATTCAAAGAGTCTCAAAAGAAACAAAACAGAAAAAAACAACCTAATTAAATGCCTTTTGGCATTCAGTAAGTCCTAGGAAAGCAAACTACAGAGTTATGATGAAACAGACAAGTTAAATTATCACTCACAAGTCTTGGGACTAGGAAAGTAGAATAATGGTTATTAGGTCTTGCATCTAGATGCCTCCCCAATTAGTCTCTTGGTTGTATATCCACATATATATATCTCCATAAAATTTTTTTTACTGATCTATACAAAAGATCTTTCTTTATAACTTAATTTTTTATAATTTCAGCCATCGTAATTTTGAAAGACCTTCTTCCAAAGAGATGAAAAAAGAAGAGTACGTTTATTCACTGTGGCCTACTTTCTGTAAATTCTTCTGTGAGAGACACTCCAAGTTATACGAAGCCCACCATTTAAAGCAAATGTTGAGGAATCTCTAGGTAAACATTTCAAAAAGATAATAAAACACTCCAAATATATACACATATTAATATTCCACAAGTATCTCTTTGTACCTCAAGAAATCCAGTATCCTAAAAAAAAAAGCTTTAAACTCAGAAAAATCTGAAATAAGAGTCCAGTAAGTATCTAACAAGTCTGTAAGTCACTTACTTCTTGAATATTTCCTCAACCATAAAAGATAACCATACCAACCTCATTTAAAATTAAATATTTACAGTACAGTGAGCAGTCAGTGTCAAGTTTTTAATACTGAATGTAAAACTCTTTGAAAAACACAGTGATCCCTAATAAAGGGAACGGGTGATACTTAGGGTGATTTGGTCTAGAAAAAAAGATGTAATAAGAAATTATTCAGAGAAATATTAAGTGCATAAGGATATGTGAAAGACTTTTTAAAAACTGTCCTAACTTGTTCTGTCTCTGCTCCCAAACCATTTTTGTTATTTTTGTGAAAAAGCTTAAATACATACACTACACATGTATACATGTGGCAAGATTTCCATTTTCCTTTTGAAAAAAGAAATTCAGATGACCTGAGAATAGCTCAGCTAGAGGACTTGCCAAGCATGTGCAAAGCCCTGGATTTGATCTTCAACGCTGAAAATAGAAATAAACTAAATAAAAAAGAATTTTAGATAGTTAAGGCCTTAGTAGTGTCTTTGTTTTAGCCATGGGAAAAAAATGTATGTAAAGAGTTTATCAAATTTTAATAAAGTTGTTTTGACAAAGCTAAATGGAAAAGAATCATTTTTCAGTGCTTTAGTTTGTCATATTACATCTTTAAATCTGAATGGTGTTTTAGACAAAGTGACTTCTACATTACAGAAGTGTCCCTCCAATTTCCAGATAATGTATACAAACAATGTGGTAAGCAAATGGTCCCACCATCTTTGTCCCCTGGTATTACTGTCTTACTTAGTATCTTCCTCTTGATTGTGATCAGCCTGTGACTGGTTTCTATGACAAAGGTAATGAGATTTCACTCTTCTCATTAGTTCACGTGTATGTGGTGTAACTGATAGGCATAGATCAGTGATAGCATGCTTGAGAGTCACTTCCCAGCACTGTAGCAACAAAAAGACTCTTAAGCAAACACTTCTTTTTGAACATCCTATATCAAGGGCCATACAGCAGAAAACTGTAAGTAGCCTCTTGGATTAGAGTGGCCTCCACTCAGCAGCTAGTACCTATCTAGACCCCTCAGACATTTCCCTCAGCTATAAGAAAGAAACTCTGCCAGTGACTTGAAGGAGCTGGACAGATCCTACCCAGCCTAGATGAGAACACAATCTAGCCAGCCCCTTGAATGCAGCCTGTGAGACACCAAGCAGAGGATCCAGCTCGGCTGGGCCAGGACTCATGATCCAGAGATGGTGCAGTAATAAATGTATGCTGTTTTAAACCAACTAAAGTTTGAGGTAACTTGTGATACATCAATGGAAAACTAGAATAGTTTGAAAACACTAGTGTAAGGGTAAAAAGTATGTAAAAGGTTGAATAACACAAAGATATAGTACTTCCTCAAAGAACTTCTGGCTATGTGGGGTTTTTAATCAGGGCTCTTTGTCTTTTGTTCTCTTTTGTGGTTTTTGGTGGTGGTGGTGGTGGTGTGTGTGATGCTGGTAATCAAATCCAGGACCTTACACATACTAGACAAGAGCTCTGCCACTGTTCTATATCCCCAATCCTTTTTTAGTTTTTCTACAGTATAATTTCCTCATAAATGAGGGAACTGCAATGGTTAACTAGATAAGAAACCAAACATAGGGCCAGCGGTTTGGCTCAGCGGCATAAGTGCCTGCATGGCAAATGCGAAGTCTTGAGTTCGAGCCTGGGTACCCAAAAAAACAAAAGAAAGAAAGAAAATGGGTAAGGTTTCCTGATTCTAAGAATGGGTACCTTGGGCTGAGGTGTAGTTCAGTGGTAGGAGTAGAAGGCCCATAATTCACTCGGAGAACCACAAAATAAACAAACAAACAGTAGGCAGCTAAAATACATTTGTAAAAATTAATGAAAAGGCTAGTGCAATCCAGGCTCACAAGCTCTCAAAATTAACGTGTTAAGGTCCCTTCCTGAATAGGGTCACAAACTAAAGAGAAACTGCCACCAAAAGATAAAAACAGATCAAGATAGAGACAATAAAGACAATGCAAGGAGACGGACGGCCCAGCCAGACCAAATTGGAGGAGAATATAAAACCAGACAATCTCAGAAAGCAAGTCATAACATCTCTAAATATACACAAAAGGTCAAGACAGAGTTTTAGAAATTTAGAAAAGGTTTCAAGGTAGAAACAAAGCTTTTATAAGTAAAGAAGGGAAATGAACTTAGAAGGAAGGAAAAGAATGGGACAAAAAGGCAGCAACAAGATACACCATGTACAGATACAAATTCCCTTAGGTACTGTTCAGTTTAAATTCCCTTGAACTAAATATTCCATGCCAGTCTTGAACTCGAAGCAATCCTCCTTGCTAGGATTACAGGCATGTCCTACAAAACCTGACTTAATCTACATTTTTAAAAAGCAAACTGAGAACTTAATAATGCTGACATATACAATCTAAGATAATTACTGGACTTTTAGGAAAACTCTTACACAATGTTCAAAGTAGTGTTGTTCATAATCACCAAAAGGTGAAACAACCCAAAGGTCTATTAACTAACCAATGAGTAAATATAAAAAATTATTCAACTATAAAAAGGAATTAGTTACTGTTACATAACACAAAATGGATGAATCCTGCAAACATGCAAAGAAGCCAGGGACGAAAAGCCACATATAATTTGATTCCATTAATATGAAATTCTAGAATAGGCAAATCCATAGAAACAGAAAGTAAGTTTGGGCTAGGGACAGAGCTCAGTGGCACAGCACCTGCCTGGCAAGCACAAGGTCCTGAGTTCAATTCCTGATACAAAAAGAAAGAAACAAATGTAAGCTCTTTTTCTAGCAGGTGAAGAGGAGGAGAAATGCATCTGACTGCTTACAGGTTTCTTTTTTGGGGAGGCGAGGATGTGATGGAGCTATTCTAGAGTTGGTAATCTTTGTATCACATAGTGAATACCCTAAAAAACACTGAATTGTGAGCTTTAAAATAGTGAATTTAAAAAACAAAATGGTGAATTTTATGTTATATGAACTATATCTCAATTGTTTTTCCCATACTAGTAATTGGACCCAAATCCTCTGAATTGAGCTAAACATCCATCTCTTTTTATTTTTTTCAGAGAATGTCTCACTAAATTACCTAGGCTGGACTCAAATCCTCCTATCTTAGACCCAAATGCTAGGATTACAGGCATGTCCCACCATTCTCAGCAAATTATATCTCAATTTTTAAAGTCATCACACTGGGAGTAGAGCTCAATGGAAGAACATGAATTTACCATACCTGAGGCCCTATTAAATCTCCAGCACCCAAACCAAATTATGTCAGTTTTAAAAATTCATTTGCACTAGGGGTATAGCTCAGCAGCACTGCATGTACTTAGCATGCATGAGGTACTAGGTTCAATCCCCAGCATCAAAATATAAATAAATTCATCACTACTCAAAAAACCCAAGCAGAACACATACACGTAACACCACCTACTCAGGAGACTGAGGAAAGATTGACAGTGTGAGGCCAGCCTGAGCAACTTAATGAGCCTTGTCTTTAAAAGGGCCAGAGTGTAGCTCAGTAGTAAAGTGCTTACCTAGCATGTGTGAGGCTGTGAGTTCAATTCCCTAATACCACCCCAAAAAAACCCTAAAATAAAGTTTCCCTTTAAAAATATCTCTTGGGGGCTGGGGATTTAGCTCAGCGGCATAAGCGCCTGCTTTGCAAGCAGGCAATCGTGAGTTCGATCCCTGGTACCGATAAAAACGAAAAAGACAAAAAAAAAAAAAAAACTCTCTCCCTCTATCTCCCTGATATTAGCTTCTAACAAAACTAGGGAACAAAGGCCTACCTCTCTTTCAGGAAAAACTTCATCCATAATGGGCCAAACCTAGGTCTATGGCTGAATTTAAATGTAGTTAGGATCTCTGTGCTATTCAACATGAAAATGCACTGGAATCACTCTCTCCTTCTAAAGAGTAAAAAGGCAAGAAATGATGAGGACAGTTAAGTGGGCAGTTACAGTAATGAAAATGTCAATGGACTAAGAAAATAAATTAAAGAACTGCAGAGGACCCACAAAATTTGTTCCCAGAGATATTTAAAATTTTTCCTTTGAGAAGACACAAAATTAAAATGAATAATTTGCCCAAACTATATGAGTACAGTAATTTAAAATTTCTGATGATGTATCAGTCTTTCATCAATATCTGTGTAACTCTTTAAAGACTATTTCCCATTTGAAAATATTCAGTTGATCAACATCTATGAACAAGTTGTCTATTACATGAAAGCTTTTCTCTGCATCATTCCAGTTATACCAAAAATCTCTTCTCCAGAGACCTGCTGAAACTTTCTATAGATTATATCACTATATGCCAATCCCTAGAGGAAGATACTGTTAATAGCTTTACTTTGAGCATGTCTAATAGGTGACAGAGTCAGGATTTACTCTCCGGTTGGCTGATTCCAGAGCATCACTGTGTATCCTATCCACTTCCAAGACCTGGTTCACCCCAGCCAGGTAGCATGTGAGATGTTGCCTTCTCATCTTTGCTCCCTGCTACAGATATCTCAAACATAGATCATTCTTGTCCACATTCAAACCAACAAGAAGTCAAGTGCCTACAATAGGTGACTCTGACCTTCAGTGGATTCTCAATCCAGATGGCACTTTTATGGGCTTGAGTGAAAAACAGGCCATCTTGTAACAGTGATAAAGGAAAAATTTTAATCAGTTTTCAATGCTAATGTACTAACAGATGAATCATCTCTTGTTTCAGAGTTGGATTTTTATCATTTCTATCAAAACAGATGATAGGATGTTACATATATCGTTCTTTCATACAGGACATTGAATTTAGACCCATTTCTCTTACCATGTACAAAACTAAAATCAGAGTGATCCAAAGACCTAAATATTAAAACAGAAATAACCTGCTGAAAGATAAAATAGCTAAAACTCTTGGAAGTCATAGACATAGGCAAGGACTTTCTGAAAAGAACCCCGAACCCCAACTGTACAAGAAATAACATCGAAAATCGGGACTATGTCAAATTAAAAAGCTTCTGCATAGCAGTTTTTTGAAAAAAAAATGGCTAATAGGGCAACTGAGCCCAATACACAAATAATATGGGCATCCTAAGAGGAAGTACCAGTCAGAAGGATTTTACATTAGAAGTCAGAGCCACTGCTGGTACATTTTCCTACTTCACATCTGAGTCCTTCACTTGCTCATTCAGAGTATATTCATTTCCCAGTCTTTGCAAGACCAGAAGAAAAGGGAAGGATGAACAAAGAGACAAAAACTCATTTATCCAGCATTTACCATGTGGCAGATACCAAGCTAAGCATGCCTGACCTTAAGTCACCCAGTAACTAAAAAGATTACTTGCACATAAAGAGAAAATTGAGTGCTCCTTAGGTTGAATAACTCATTTAGAGAAATTCACAGAGCAAATTAAAATTCAAACTCACCTCTGGCTGACCACTCATGTAGCCCTGTAAAGAAAATTCAAACACACCAGAAGTGGTGGCACCGGCCTATAACTGCAGCACTCGCACTTGGGAGGCTGGCGCAGGAGGACTGCTGCAGGCTCAAGGCCAGCCTGGGTTACATACTGAGTTCAAGAACAGCCTGAACTGTATAGTGAGACTCTAAAAAAAATCAGCCTTACTGCGTCCACGTTTTATTTATCCTTTGCTGGAAAACGCCTATGCCTCTCTGAGCACAGTCTTTATTAATAATTTAAACTATCCGCACAAGGGTGATTTACCTAAAAAGTCATCATCTCTCCTTCCCCTTGGAAATCAACAGATTACCAGCCATCAGGTCTATTCAATCATTTAAACTCCCTCTTGACTAAAATTAAGTAAAGGTTTAAAAACCGTGTTAAGCTAGGTGTGATGGCTCACAACCTTCCAGCACTCGGAAGGTTGAGACAGGAGGATCATTAAGAGTTGGAGACCAGCCTAGGCTACAAAGTGAGCTCAAGGCCAGCCTGAACTGCATAGAGAAATCCTGTCTCAAAACAAAACTGCATTAAGATGGTATTTAGGGACTCTAGTCTCACTTTGCTGGCTCTTCTTGCTGAGACAACTCGTCCTCAATTCACGGGCCCCTTTTCCAATTGTCAGTGGAATTGGATTCCACAACACTATACACTTAGCTTTTTTCACTGCTTGCTTCCTTCATGACCACACCTGTGTTGGGTGTTTCTCTGAACGGTTAAGTATCCCGCCTTGAGGCGGGGGGGGGGGGGGGGGGGGGGGTGTCTTCCAAAAAAACAGACCAAGGAAAAGGGGCTGAAATAAACCATTTTATAATTAAATGACACTAAAAGATCAAGCCCATTCATTTTATCTGACAGATACGGAGTCTAAACTCAGGTTTGGTGATTTGCCTGAGACCGCATAGCTAACAAATGGCTGAACCAGGATCAGCACAAAAAGCTCCACACTAGCACTAGCACTACTCGATTCACTTTCCCTCCTAGCAATTTAGGCTGCCTTTGTTTTCTCTGCGTTTCAAGGGCAAATTTCCCACTCCGCTACTGTTTTGTTTCTAGGCACTCACTGTTAAATAAAACAAATGACAATGACAGGTTCTTTTCGCACGACTGTGAGAACTATAGAACATCGATGTGCAAGGTATTAGAAAGAGTTGGACTAGTCTTTCTAAAAAATACTGCCTAGGATAATTACCTTGATGGAATAATCATTCAAAAAGAAGTACCACCTTCTGCAGGAAATTTACAGCTTCAGAAAGACTCAGAGCTGATTTTTCTAAAGGTCCTGGAGGGCAGATAGGAAAAGGTGCAGAAGCTAGTCTAGTACAACTCGTTTGTTCGTTTACTAAACAAATTGGTAGGGCGCCGAGCGTGCGGCTTGCATTAAAACACATACAAAAGCTTGGTCCTTGTTCTAGAGAGCTTACTGATTCTCAGGAGGTAAAGGGCCCCGCAGCCTGGAGTTATAAACCTAAGCAGCTCCAACTCCAAGTCCTCTGGATGCTGCCCGGGGCAGCAGGGATGGGGTGAGGGTCCCCACCAGCCGCGGGAGAGAGCGCGCAGGGACCGCCACCAGGGATGCTCGCCCGGGCTGTACCCCCAGAGGGGCGGAGACACTCAGCCTAACGCGCTGGAGGCGGGACCCCGAGAGCGACCAACGAGGGGCGCCTCACAGCCAGCACCAGAGCTCCGCACACATACACACACCCCCGCCCAAGTCTTTGCCACGGTTACCTCCGGGGTCTCGCGTGGTCCAGACTGCACACCCAAGACCCCAGGGGCAGCTCCAAGTTTCAGAGTTAGGAGGCCTAGGCAGCCCGTGGAAGTGAGACTAAAAACTGTTGGAACAAGATGGGCTCTTAAGGGGAGGAGAGACGAGTGGCAAGGGAAGACTGGAGGAGAAAAGCAGCAGGGAGGTGAAGTTTTTAAAGGCCAGTTCCGGAGACCAAGCCGACCCGCAGCCCTGCGACGCCTTTCTCAGGCCTCCCGGCAGCCTGCAACCCCACCCTCGCCCCGACGGCTCGGCTCGCCCCTTTCCTCCCGCCTCCACAGCTCCAGGATACGCACTCGGAGGACGCCGGGCTCCGATTGGAGGAGCCCGCCCGCGGAGTAGCGCGCCTTCGTTGGGAGCAAAGCGGCGCATGCGCCGTTGCTGGGAAACGGGCCGGGTTCCTCAGGAAGCACGCCGGCGGGGCTCGCCCTCCAGCCCGGTGTTTGTGGGGTTAGGTCCCCGGAGACGAACGGAAGCGCAGCTTTCAGTCCTCCAACCCTTTTCTTTGCCTGCTGAATAAAAAAAAATCTAGGCTGTCAAATCGTAGCTCTGACATTGGTAAACTAGCCTGTATGGTGATCCATACGCCTGAGAGAAAACCCCGATATATGTGCGCGGGTTCCACAGCTCTTTGGGGAAATTCGCTGATCTTGACTTCTGTGCCTGTGGCTGGTTTCCCTCGGGACCGCTGTCCGCTGACACAGGGCCTCCTGTCCCTTATCAGCCTTTACTACCCGAATTTGGGGTGAGGAACAGGATTGGAAGAATACGGGTCAGTGCGTTGCTGTTAGGCATTTCTGATTGTACATATGCTGCAACCAGACGCGGCAAAAAGGATTTTCCAGTCGTAATACGTGCTCCGTTTCGTCTTTTTTTTTTTTTGCTTGTCTTTTTAATATTCAATCTCATTTATATTCTCATTCTCTCACCCTCATTCCCCCCCCCAAAAAAAACCTCAATATATTTATGCTGGCTGTACTTTGATTTCTCCAGATAGCTGTTTCACAATCTGCTGCCGCCTTGGGGAAACTGGAAAGCCAGATTCTCCGGTTTCCTAAATTTTGAAAGCCTGTTCCCTAAAGAACAATGCAAGTTGGCAGGATTTCGATTAAGGGGTTTATTTTCACCACAGCCACCCCCCCAAAAAAAGGTGTTAATTCAAAATAAACCCTTTATGCCAAGCTTGATGTTGGCTGTAATCAGCCTGAAACCAGGTGCAGGGATCATCTTTCCCCCACCTCACTCCCACAGGAGAACCAACGGTCAGAAACGCAAATACAAATTGAAATTAAAAACTCCTGGATTGTTACAGCACTGAAACCTTAACTGATTTCAGTGTAGTCATTAAGATTTTAAAAGGAGACTGTCCCTCCTTCCTAAGAAAGAGAATGGCTTTGAAAGGAAGAGCTTTAAGAAAGAACAAAATAGACCAAATCAACATTTAGAAATGAAGTGTGACATTACAACAGCCTAATAATAATATTTTTTATTTCACAAGCTTTAAATATTTTAAGTGTCTTTTATATTTTAACTATCACTAAAGTATAGCATGACAAGAACAAATGTCAAATGTACTACATAACATACTCCGTTAGTAAAAAGAAAAATGACTGTAATGTGAAGATTTGTATCTTTCACTTGATCAGCCAGCATTTATAACATACAGAGTATTTACCCAGCAGAGAGTTAGGTGATAGGCACACCGGTATACCGGGGCAGCAGGGATAAAAGAAGGGATATGTTAATATCAGGCCCCTTGCATCTGAAAAGCTCTTATAGAGGACTTTTGACTTCAGGAAGATAGTTACAGACTCATCAAACTAACAAGGAATTGAAAGGAGGACATGAAAGCTACAAATATGGCCCAGAAAACAGCAAGAGATATTTGAAAAACTGGAAAGGGTCTTATGTCCAAAGGAGAAAAAGTGAGAAACCAGGTTAGAGAAGTGCAGAATCCAGATTATAGAGGACTTTCTAGGTGCCCAACTGCAACACAAAACCCACTTAATTACCTCAAAGTGCCACTTAAACCTAAATACTGAGGATTTAGTTCAGAAAAAAAAAATTCATACATTAACATCTTTTGTCTTAAAAACAATACGGGTGCCGTAAATTCACCACCACCGTTTTAGGTTATATTTATCAAGCAAGGGAGATAATGAGAGGAGGATAATTTACACAAGAAATCATGTCATTCCAAAATACTTGGGGATTTTCTATATTTCTGGTAGTTACAAAGGTAGTTATCGTCTGTTTACTGAACTACTACTTGCTACTTAAACTATGTATGTAAAAAGATCTCCAACCCATTCCCCTTTGACCTCAGTATCATTTCTTTCCCCTTTCTTCCTACCAATCGTTTTGACACAGAATGGGATCCATCTCCACTGCAGTAGGAAACAACTTCCAAGCTCAGGAAAGACTTCATTGCCAGACCCCTTGACTTTGCTAAATCACTGAGCCTCCAGATTTCTCGCCAGCATAAGTGAGAATATACACTCTTCAACTCTGAAGTTTTGCTGATAATCAAGGAACCATTATCTTTTTGCTCCTCAGTTGGTATTTTCTCCGTTTCTGCCCACAGTCTTCACAGTGTGCCAGATAAGTTTCCCAGGTGATATCATCATTCCTACATGTATGAACTCCAACTCCTTAATTTCAGGTTTTTGTCACTTTTTTTTAAATCAGTTCCAGGGATTGAACTCATGACTGCGTGCTTGCAAGGCAAGCGCTTAATGCCGCTGAGCTAAATCCCAACCCCTGATTCTTTGTTTTTGTAGTGGGGATTGAGTCCAGAATCTTTGTACTGAGCTACATAGCCAGGATTTTATTTTATTTTATTTTTGAGACATTCTCGCTAAGCTGCCCCAGCTGGCTTTAAACTTGCAATCCTCCTGCCTTAGCCCCTATAGCACTAAAATTATAAGTGTGCCCTGTCACATCTGACTTGAATTCAGTTTGTTTCTTTTAAGAAATTCAGTTTTAATAAACATTTCTAACCTCCTGAGCTTTGATTTTGAACTTTTAACTAAGTGAATAGTGCTACTTTAATGTCTGGCAGTATTTATTTCAAAATATCTTAAGAAAATGATCTTTTTCAACTTATCATGGAAGTCCCCAGAACTACTTTCTGCCTGTTTTTAAAACTCCTACACTCCTAGACATAAAACCAAGAAAAACTCAGAGGATCTTATCCTTCTTTCATTCTCTGAATTTCTGTATTCAACAATTCTGTTTTTTCTCTAAAGGGGTGTGTGTGTGTGTGTGTGTGTGTGTGTGTGTGTGTTTATGTGTTTTGTTTTGCAGTACTGGGGCTCAAACCTAGGGTCTTGCACATGGTGGGCAATTACCATGGAGCTGCATCCTGAGCCCCAGTCTTCTTTCTGTACCTACTACTAAGCAACTACATTTGTTTCTTTTTTGTTTCCTACCCAAACAGTTGTAATCAGAACCTTCCTTGTGGTCTAATGCAAGCCACTCATGTTTTTCTTCTATGCAAATGGAGGTTAACATCTAGGTATCTTTAAACTGGCAAGTCTAAGAGGAGATCATTGAAAAAAAAATGGAAATAGGCCTGGGGCCCATGTGTACCTTTATGACACTATGGAATGTTAGCTGAGTGTGTGTGTGTGTGTGTGTGTGTGTGTGTGTACGCGCATCTGCCTCAGGGCTTCTTAAGCACCAGATGACACATCCTTATGACCCTTCCATAGCCTCCTGTAGAAGGTTCAAACACCAGGTGCTTGATTAGTATGCTATTTTGGTATCAGTTCTTAGAACTGAAAAACTTTAGAATAATTCTTGTTCTCAGTAGCTCTGGTCCTTTGTTGTTTTCATATGCTACCACAAAGATGATAATTCTAAAGCATAACTCTGCTCAAGTCACTGCCTTGATTAATTCTTCTAAGTGGCTCCTCACTGTTTACAGGACAAAACTCAAGACTTTTCCTCTGTCAGTCAAAGACTGCTAATCAAGTTCATAACTTCCTTTGCCAGTCTTACCTTCTATCTTGCAATAAATATTTCCTTCCATTCACATTTGCAACAGAAAACACAGACATTTATAAATAAATGTAATACGATGTAGCCAAAGGTTTATATTAAATGCCTTAAGACATTGTCTTGGTTACTTTTCTCTCACTGTTGAGACAAAATACCTGATGCCCAAAGGTGAAGCAAGGGAGGAGTTTATTTCTTGCAGTTTTGGGGGTTTCAGTCCATATTCAGCTAGCTCCAAACAAGATGGCATGGCAGGGTCACCATTTATGGCCATGGCAAACAGCAAGGGCGAACAGAGCAAAAAGGAAAGACTCGCCTTCTTCCCACTTTAACACTTTATGTTAGCTCCACCCCAGATGGGCGCAGCACTGTTAGTGATGTTATCGCTAATCCCAGCGCTAGACAACAAACCAATCACAAATGCTAGAGTCAGCATGTGTCCATGATTGCATGAGGACTGAGGGGCCATCTGAACACAAACTATAACAGACATATAGCTTAATATAAAAGATTTAAATCCAGGTAAAATTATTATATAATATGTGCCAAGATCCATGCTAAGTGGTTTAACATTTATTCTCATTTTTTTCAATGATGCAAACAAACATCTGTCATTTGCTCTGATGATATATGGTGACTTTAAAAACAGGAGTAATTAGAAAAGTGTAAAAGTCTCCCCAAAGTCCCAAAATAAAAAAGAACTCTTAAAATTCAATGATAAACTGGGTATATTGAAACCTAGAAGGCTGAGGAAGGATACCCCCAAATCTGAGGGCAGTCTGGCTATATACTGAAACCTTTGCTGAAAAAAAAAATCAATAATAATAAAGCAACTTAATTGGAAAATGTGTGAAAAGCTTTAATAGGTACCTCACTGAAAAAAATATATAGATGGCAAATAAACATATGAAAAGATGGTCCACATCACATGTCATCAGAAAAATACAAATTAAAAGAATAACACACCACTACATACCTTTGAGAATGGCCAAAACCAGAACACTGACAATATCAAGTGCTAATAAGAATGTAAAACAATAAAAACTCTCACTACTGATGGGACTATGGAGTAAAGTTTATGGCTTTCTTACAAAACTAAACATACTCATACTGTGCCATTCAACAATCATGACCTTTGGAAAACTTATGTCTACACAGACACCCTGCATGCAGATGTTTATAGCACCTTTATTCACAATTTCCAAAACTTGAAAGCACTCCAAATGTGAATGGAGAAACCAGTACATCAGGACAATAGGCTATTATTCACCACTAAAAAGAAATGAACTCTAAAGCCATGAAAAGGTATAGAGAACAGTGCTTATAACTAAGTAAAAGAAGCTAATCTAAGAAGGCTACATACCTCATGATTCCAACTATATGACATTTTGCAAAAAGCAAAATAAAAAGACAATAAAATGATGAGTGATTGCCAAGGACTGCCTGGGGAAGGCAGAAGGATGGATAGGTAGAGAGCAGTGGAGTTTTAGGGCAGTGAAATATTTTATATGCT